TTGTACCAAATAAAGGCTGAACTGCATAATTAAAAGTAAAAGGAAACACTAGTCTATTCAGCCTAAAACCTTAGATTCCCACAAGAGTGGATTCAGACTCTGATGTGCTAAATTCTTTAATGCTTTCAATGCCTGAGCTCTTACCCAAACACACACACACACACACACACACACACACACACACACGGCACTTAATTCATTGTTCAGAAAATGGCTTTTATAATAATTTACCTAATGCTAATAACTGAATGACATTTTACTTTCAAATGTGTTATCAGTAATGAAGGTCTGCATGAGAATAGGTACAACGGGCAAATCCTCCACATGAACTGTAAGATCATCTTCACCACCTGGGGAATCACCTGCCCAATTTATTGTTCTCAAATTGTAACACCTCCATTCTGGGTCTATTAAAAAAAAAATTGTTGGCTTTCTCAGAGTATACATTTTAAAAATAATTTTTTTCTTATTAATAATGTATGACACATTTTATGAAAAGCTTAAGAAGATGTAGTATACTGCAACAAATGATCCCCAGTACACAGATAATAATATACTACTATAGTCTACTTATATTCTCCTCAAGCATATTTTTAACTTGATACATAATATCATTTCTTTTCTGGATTTGACTATTTTCACTGTCAGTACAATTTTGTAGGATACTTCCCTTCTTGTAGAATCCATACATGTGAAGATCATTCCTTGGTCCCATTTTTTCTGCCACTATGTCTGAGGTCCTATAAATGGTTTCTGCCAGTGCATGTATCTTAAAGATTATCTCTAAATTTTCCTAGCCATTTTGCCAAGCTAGCATTAAATTTTAACTTTTGTTTTCTTATAAGACAGTTATGTCTAATTTTCAAATCCAGTACTCCTTTTCCACGTTATTTGTCCACATACTTGAGATTAAACTTTTATAATTACTTAAAATAATAAATGTATTATCAAGCTGCCTATGTATCAGTTCTGATTTTAATAGAAATAACCTCTGGTGTGTCACTGTTTTGTTGTTTTTGAGTTATATCCTCTACAGTACATGAAGATTCTTTTCTATACTTGGTGAGGATTTGAGAGAAATGGATATGGAATTTTGAAGTTCAACCTATGATCATTTTTAGCTTCTTTTAATACAGTGTGAAATTAATATCCTCATATGGAACTACATTCAGTTCCAGGTTAACCTTAGGTAATATGGTTTTTCTTATTTTGTAGTAATTACCATTTTATTTAGGATTCTAATACTCACTTATAATGTGCCTGTCTTACATTTTTGGTATTCTCTTAATAAATGGGTGAAAGGGAGTGGGTACTAATAATTCATAGTTCACTGTTGTTTCTAGGACACTGTGGGTCTTACAGGTGTTATTTCACTTAATTTCTGTATTTTTCAAAGCTTGTCTAAAGTTTCAGTTTCTTTTTTTGGGTAATTTGTAACTTTAAAGAGCTTCCCTGACCTACCTTCTTAATTATTCAGAGTTCTTGCCTGAATTCCTTGCTACCTCCACTAAGAAAGACAACTCAGCACAACTGCTGCTTTTGCCTGACAGTCTCAGCTCCTCTGGAGGCTGAGGCAAGAAAACTGCTTCAGGGCAGAACTTGAAAGCCAGCCTGGACAACAGAAACCCAGCAGCAGCCAGCTGTTCTTTCTATCATTTTTGAGTGTTGATACCTTTTAAATGGGAAACATTCGAATATTGTGCAAATGAGCACAATAGTTATGGTGGAAACAAATTTTAAGATTAAAAAAAAAAAAAAAAAAAAAGGATCACTCGCACTGGGCACACACCAAAACACAGTTAAAAAAAAAAAAAAAAAAGCAGTCTCTTTCAGACTTACCGGCTTCTGTAACTGATTCACCATCCTATTATCTCAGAACTTCACATTTGTCTCTTCAGAATCATTTTTTCTCTCTTCTGGAGAGCAAGTAGATATTGCAGAAATGTGGTACACAACACCCTGTACTTCACCATTTACCAGTTTGTTTTGTTGACATCTATTTTGTTAAGTTTTACCACAACAGGTCAGATCTATTACATATCCAGTTAACAAAAATTATTACAGATCACTGTTGAATCAAACTTTTTGTACAGTAGGTACATTTAACCTCATGCTAATTCTGCTAAACTTTGTGTTTTCTCCATTTTGAGTGATCAAATGCTTTTCTCTTCACATTTTTATATAATTTTCAGTTTGAGGTTTTGAAAATATAGTCCATTTTACTCCATCAATGGATAAAAGCTTGCTTTTTAACCATTCCGTAGAACTTTTCATTGCCATTTATGGAAGGAAAGAATTCTGCACTCTTTATTTTCTAACTCTAGGTTTTTTTCTTCTGAGTTTCCTTTTTATGTATAACAGATGATCATTTTGTCTTTACATTTATAATTGTAAACAGTGTTACTATAGATTTAAATTTCCCGTCAACTGTTTAATATTTAAGTCAGTGCATTTCAGTGTCTTCTTAAACATGGATTAATTTTGATGAATTTTTAGCTCTCCCTATTTTGGATATTTAAAAACTATTTCTGTATTTGTTAAGTTTAGAAATTTAACTACTAAATTACCAAAGAGTTCTTGGGTCATTTTTGTTTTACTTAGAAAAAAGTTATGAAAGAAATAGAACTTTTAAATCTATCACTAAGCTATTCATTATTTACCATTCCAATGTAAAAATTACCCAGTTTGTCTAGTTTAGGTAGCTGTTCATGGATTCTGAGTACCATGAATGTTATTTCCACAATGAACTTTTTAAAAGTAAATGACATTCTAGTATCTATAATCACTGTTTCTATTACACTTACTTACTGTTGTCAATTACGAAAACTTTGGATCCCAACTCACCCTCTGAAAACCATGGCCTTACCTTATTGTTTTATCTAAATCTTCTATTCCATTTAGACACTAGGAAACAGGTATGTTTATTTGCATTTTCATAAATGCTTTGGTCTGGTATTTCACGTATAGATTATGCCTGCAATAAGCTGCTAATTCATTATCTCAACTTAGATATCACTTTTCTAGGAAGGCTATGTGGAACTTCCATAGCCATGGAAGTTCCATGGAACTTCCTACCACTGTTGGGTAGGTGTTGCTTTTGCCATTTCCCTAGTAGTATTTTTTTGGGGGGGGAACTGGGGATCGAACTCACTAGATTTTTTTTTTTTTTTTTTTTTTTTTGGTACCAGGGATCGAACTCATGACCTCACTCTTGCCAAGGAGGCACTGATGCCGCTGAGCTAAATTCCCAGCCCCTGCTTTTGCCATTTCTACAATTACCAGTTGTGAGAATTGTACATTCTTTAAGAAATGCAACTTCTTAAGGATGTGGGTTATTTCTATTTTCATCACCAAAAACAGTTCAGCACAGTACAAGGCACTCCATTCAGGGTGCTGATGATTAAAATTAAACCAGATGTTTATTTTAATTTATTCTTGTTATCATCTGGGAACACCTCAACTTTGTACTCTGATTCAAATGTTTGCTTTATCATTTTTGTTATTTCTCAAATTCAATGGATCTAATTTTACTGTTTTCTCTCAACTGCATGCTAATTTTACTTTTCATCTTTGGCTGAACATTTTTATGACCTTCATAATTTTTAGCATTTTAAAAAGCATACATTTGAAGCTGGGAGTGGTGATGTACATGTGTAATCTCAGCACTTGGAAGGCTGAGGGAGGAATGGAATGAGTTTGAGGCCAACCTGGACAATATAGCAACACCCTGTCATTCAGATGCATATAGATTCAAAAAATCTTCTGCTTATAACAGCAAATCCATTTTGGAGTAAGTAACAATCAGAGCCCTCAGGGCAATGATTGATTTTTTTTGTACTGTAATTATTCATATATACTACAGTGTTTCTCTTGTATCTATTAAGGCCTGAATTAAACTTGAAGAAAAGGGTAAGATTACATAATAGAAAAATTGTTTGGTATTAAGTCACAGATTTTGGCATAAGATTACACTCACTTGATCAGAAAGAACAATGGTGAGGGCTGGGTCAAAGAGAAGGGGAAAGGGAGATGAAAAGGAAGCACAATAGGAATGTCCTAACTTTTGTCACTCTCCACTGCAGATGTATGCAGACTTTCCTGAGAAAGACAGGGAGGAGAGGGAAGGAGAGGGATTTCTACTAATGGATCTATTTGAAAACAGTGTCAAAAGCAAATGTCATTCTTGGTCCCCTCTTAGAAACAAATTACTCTGAGGTGGTAGATGAAGGAAACATATCCCAGTGTTCTAAAGCAAGGCAATGAGGCTGGTTGCTTCACAGCAGGACAGAAAACGTTAGAGTTCATTAGTAAAGTTTAGAGTATGACCCATCATTTGTTCTATTTTTACTATACTTGCATAAACAATTTTTAAAGTTTTACAACACCTTTTATGTATTTTTTTTTAAAGGGAACCTAGAGAATGTGTACAAGGGTATTGGTCAAATGGAAGTTTTTTTTTTTTACTATGCCCTTCCTAGTAGCACCCTGGTTATAACTTTTAATCAGAAACTGTTTAACTTGCTAAGCTGGTACATGACTATCTTATTACGAATTTGCTTTTTGATAGCATCAAAGGGTTAAGTTGTCTAGTATAACTAAAATAGGAAGTAGAAAAGGTTACCTTTAAGTGTCAGATTAATTCATGATATTGGAATAATCGTTCAATATGGATTGCATGCAAATGATAAACATGTAGAATATATTACAAGTTAGAGGTTTTAATGGTTCCAAAAAAATACTAGTGTCCCTATGTAGGAAAGATATTTACTATACATTATTTATTATTATTATTATTATTATTATTATTTGCTTTGTTCTGGTACTGGGGATCGAACTCACAACCTTGCACTTGCCAGGCAGGCATTTATGCTGCTGAGCTAAATCCCCAGCCCTACTATAAATGATTTAAGTTTTCTTATCCAATACATACCTCTTTTGCAAAGCAACACTAGTCTAAAAGATTTTACATTTTTCAAATAAACACAAAGCCAGCCAATTAGTTCTGAATAAGTGATAACAACTTTATTTTAACTCAATGTGCTGAACTCCAAAATATTTTCAGCAACAAGATACAAATAGTATGTATCTTATCATTAACATCAACTGATTAAAAATGAGGCTAAAATTAGTTCAGTTATCTTGTACACATTTAAATTTTGAAAGTCAACTTTCCTCAGAATATTTAAATAACTTTAGAAGAATTTTATTTTCAGAAACGGGACTCAAATTGTATCTCCATTTTTAAAAATGCAAAATCAAATGGTTTACAGTATATAATGATAAAACTCTAATAACAGAAAAAGATTTAAATATAATAATTCCTTTTCAAACAGAGTTCACATACTACAAACAGAAGACACAGTGTGATTTCAATCCTAGTGAAGAAGTCTTGCATATGGTAGGCACTCAATATTTGTTCAACTGGACCTAAAATTTCTATCATTCCATGAACTGAAAACATTTAAAGTAGAGCATTTCATAACCTGTATAAAAAGGGCTTGCAAAATACCCTTATGTATGCTGAAAGTGCTATCTTTATAAACTGAGAACACTAAAACAAACTCACTCACCCCTTTTCAAGAATATACTATTTTATCCATCATAAAGCATGCATGTCCAGTCAGACTAATTCACCTCTGTGTACATGGCTATGAGCAAAGTTTGCTAAATTAGATTTCCAAAACAACTTACCAAAGTCCCTGTTGATTTTAGTAACAGTTGGTAGTATTTATGATCCAGAATTTTTCAGTTGTTTGTATTTTGGCAGTGCTGCAGAAGGAACTCAGGGCTTCATGTGCATGGTAGAGCTATACGGTTAGCCCTTATACACCATTAGCAGAAAGATTTCTGCTTGTATGTTAAATTTATGCAAAAAATTTAAATGGGTAAATTAAAAATTATGCTTTTGAGAATTTAAGTTTTGAGATAAAAATAAATCAATAATGTTGATAACTTAAGAATTTTTACTATTTTAAAACAATTATAATTGATGTCCTAAAAAGGCACTGTTGATATTTCATCGTGCAGTAAAAATTAGTCACGTCTTTAAGAATGATAACTTCTTTTGTCAATTGTCCCTCCAATTAAAGCACATTTAATTATTTTAACTAATCTGAATGTTCAACATTTAACTGAGTCCTATTTTCATATATCTACTCTTCACACACAAGCCCAAATGAATACAGACATATACACATGCACAGATACACACACACACACACACACACACACACACACACACACACACATACTCCCCACACAAAAGACCACATATTTCATGCAAGGTTCTCCAATTACTATTTGAAGACAATGACACATGAATATCTCAGGAGGTAACATTGGTAAGCCATACTATGGCACCTTCATATTTGTGCTCCAAATATCAATACACATCAAAATTAAAAAATGAAAAAGGCACAAATAGAGTGTTTCTAATTCTTAGTCTAAACAACATTTAACCAATGGCTACTTTTCTAATATGTAATATTTAAAACCAATCATTACTTTCTAAGCAAAAGCCTCCTTGGCTGACAAAAGAAAAACAGGAGTAGATTTATAGTTTAAAAGGCAAGACTGCTCTAGACAGAAACTATCTATTTTAAATAAAATGTATGTACTTTAAAAGATGGTGGAATGGGTGGGGAAAGGCTAGTAGAGCACTCGCATAAGAATACATTAACAGTTTTTTTAATCATTGCCTCAAGAAACTATAATACTAAAAATATACGTAATAATAAATAAAAAAATAAATCAACTACCATACAATTCTGTTAGTATAATGGTAGGCATTATATTATCTGAAAAGTGGACATTTCTACAAAAATGAATATTCGTAATTACAGCACAGTGTTTGACATTTTGGGTACAAAATGTGCTACCAAACTTAAAAAACATCTTCATAATAAAGTCTTTAAGATCTGAAATAAACACTGGAATCAGGAAGCTGAGATACTCACTAAATGGTGCTACTGAAGTATATGTGATTACAATATTAGAATGAATCTGTGAATTAATTTACACTTTACTGGCATGGTGTGCATGTGATATAAATGGATACACCATTTTTTAATATGTGACAACATAATTCTATAGCTAGACAGAAGTTGTTTTCTTATAAATAAGATCCTGGCAAAAATCTTAAAAGTATGCATGTGTATTTTTAAAATTGTACATCATAACAGGTATGGTGGCACACACCTATAATCCCAGCAAAGGGAGGCTGAGACAGGATCATCGCTACAAGTTTGAAGCCAGCTTGGGTTACATAGTGACTTCAAAGCTTAAGCAAGATCTTGTCTCAAAAAACACAAATGAACAAATAAAATAAAATTGTACATTTAACAGGCTTAATATTAAGGTGAAACTGAGAAAGTGAATTTCTACTTGCCATTATATTCTTATACAGGATAAAGTCCATTACTAGGTCAGAATCTTTCTTCTATCCTACGAGATAACTTCAAACTTTTAAGATATATAGCAAAGACTCAATTAAACTAAGTTAATTAAAAATGTGATCTTTTCAACACTGTTTTGAATAATAAATGCTTTCTGGACAGTGTTTGTTCAATGTAAAGATGAATCATTCTTGATACATTAGGATTGTTTCAGATAACATCTAACAAACAGCAAAAATATCATCTATTTTAAAACCTCAACCTTTATCGCTTTTCTTTGTCCTGAATGAAAAATCTAAATAAACAAATTTTACTCTGGAGAATAAAGTTATATATGCAAAGATACAAGTATGTGCATTTTTTTCCAGTGACATACTTTACCCCATGTTGTCAAATATAAATCTTACCTAAGAAGCACACTGTCTCTGTGACAGTAGGTCAAATGTAGTTCTGACACTGATCACATCTGCTTCTCCAGGACAAGGCCTCAAAATAAACCTCATGACTATCAGTGAGCATTTTTGTATGTTTAAAGCTAAAATTCACTTATAATAAAGAACTGGCCCATGAAAAAGCAGTTTATAAATAGTTTATCCTGTTCACATTATGCAGAATTTTAATAATCCACAATGTTACTATAGTAACTGAAATACAAGGGAGAAAATAAGGGGGAATAAGCTTGAACTGACAAGCTTGAGCAGTCTGAAGTGTAGACTGACACTTTGGATTCTAAGGGTTCTCTCCTATACTGTGCATTTTCCATGGGCAAATAATAATTGTTCACTGTTTGTAGGAGGGCAGACTGTCCAGAACTCATTTATTGTTCATTTTTTCAAAGTATGATAAAACAGGAATAAATTCAATAAGGAACATGTGAAATCCAAACCAATTTACCTATAGTCAATGATCTCTTTCTTATTAATTATCACAAACATTCTAGTTGCCTCCGTCTTAAAAAAATTATTTCAAAAGTTAAAACATAATTATACATTATTAATCCCCTCAAAAGCAAAAAAATATATGTACCATTCAGCATAGAAAAGTCACACATTAAAAGTGCATATATATTTTTCTTACTTGGCCCGCTCATTACATTTACATTTGGTCAACCTCACTTTTAACATGTACAGAATTCTTCATATAAATGTAGATCATTATAAATTAAAAAATTACTTCAGCACAAAACATGCCTTCTTCCTATTGAAATCTTATTTCAGTCATTTCTTCACCACTGTAAACTTGGATAAACCCAGTTTCTTGGACAGCTAACACACAGACAAACACCACAAGTTTAGTATAATTTGGGCCAACTCATTGCATATTTGCCCCTTGAAATGAAAAATAAATTAGAATTGAAGCAGTGTATTTCCATAACTTACCTTGAAGATAAGCAGGTTCTCCTATATTTATAGAACTTAGACTGGAAACATAACTGGTAATCTTCAATGCAAGTGCTTTTAAGGAGTTTACATTTTGAGATAACATAGGACAAGTCCTATAAAATTCATTTTTCCTTTCTTAAAATAATGGAAGATCCTTTTGAAACTTATTATCTTCAGCTATCGATATTACTGCATTATGGAGCCAGTGCAATCCTGCATAGCCTTGGTCAAAATGACAAGGCACAATAAAAAAATTAAAGTACTATATGAATAAGAAAAGTCACTGAAGATAATTTAAGGCCTTGAAGTGAATTAATCAGTCTAATTTAAAGCTGAAGTATAAACCATAAATTATCCACCTGAAATGCAAGCAATATGCCTTTTCAGCTTCTGTTTTGCAGATAAGAAAACAGAAACAACTTTCGCTTATGGTTTGTGTATTAGAATCCTTCTGGACCTGGAGGAACAAAAGTCAATTCCATGTTTTTCTACTGTTCACAGAAGGTTTCAGGACTGCTTTAGCCGTTTGCGTGGAATGCCAAACTGTGGGCACTGTGCAGATGCTAGTGCTCTGAAGGCTTCTGCTACTAAGTGAGGGTGAGACTGAATCATAGACTTCCACCCTGATGTTTCCATTATGTCCGTGGCTTGGCTGAAAAATAGAGAAAGTGGAAGTTCCTTTACTAAAAGGTACTTTACATAATGCATTCTTTGCTTTGTCAATATTTTAACTTGTACATTTTGTACAAATTTGTACATTTTGAAATGTTTAAACAATATATGTACTTGAGTCACAAGTTTATTAAAATATCATATTTCTCTTACTGGTATTTTCTATTAAGACAGAAACTCAAAACATTTCTGGGAGAGAAACTCCATAACTATAGGACATTGGTCTCCATAACTCTGCTCTCATTGTTACCATTTTTGTACCACTGCTTTGAAGAGTCTTTGGCTCTTTTTATACTTCACTCTTATAAGCATGTTTGTTCTAGAGTTCCAGCTTCCACTCTCCTCTCTTTACCTTTAACACGTACTGTTTGTTTTAACTCATCACTCTTCAGAATTTTAACAATCATATTCAATGATGATAACTAATGACTTGCTAAATCCTAGGCCTCCCCACAAGGTCCCTTCTCCCTCACCTGTTCTTTTAACTTGAATGTGCCTTAAGGCCCACAAATTCATGATCATCAGATAAGACCTTATCATCTTACTCCTTAAACCCCAAAGTTTTCTGCTTTATCAGTTTCTTCTATCACCCAGGAAACCTGGGAGTAGATCTGCCCTAATTGTCAGAAGTCTTGTTTTAATTTTTGAAGATACCATAAACCTCTGGTTGAGGCCTTTGTTATTCACAATGCTGCCATAATGGCATAACTGACTGCCACATGTTCTCTTCTATAGTTCCTCTTTGCATACATCTAAAGTTTTAGAAAGACAAACTAGACTCCTTATTGCTGGCACCCAACTGTTTTCTGAAGCTTTTCACTTCCACTTTCCTTATGTTCCAACTTTTTATACTGAGATACTGAGCTGTTTATTGTACCTTATGTACAACACGTCAACACTAAGCAATCAAGGTAAATAACTGCTCAAGCAAGCAACAAATAGTTATCTTTCTTCTGCCCCTTTTACCACCCCCTACCCAAATACCACCCAAATTTATACTCCTTCCTTATTTCATTTATTTCTAGTCTCACTGTCACAAATCAAGTCTATTTGTACCCTCATTTCTTTGTGTGACAATGTTTACTAGATGCTTATTACTTTTCACTGTTTGACTATAAAGTCCTAATATTATATGACTTTGCAGGATCTGACCACTGCCTAATTTCTCCAGCTTCTTCCAATTACCTACCTCCTGCACATCCATACACACACATACACACACTCACATACTACTACTCTCTATCTTCTAGGATATATTTTCCTTCCTCTGTTCTTTATCAGATCAACTTCTAGCAATGATTCAGGCTGTATTTTTGCAATTCTTTGTAACAGCTTTTTCTTACCCCTAAAACAAAGTAAGGTCCCTTGGGTACATGCTGTTACGGGTATACATTCTTCATATCTTATTGCAATTACCTACTTAATGAACGTCTATTAAACCATAATTTCTTAAAGAGAAAAAAAGTATCTGTTATGTTCACCATTATCTTCTCTGTACAAAGCACAATGCCTTGGGAACTCATTGGATAATAAAGTTTAAGAATCTGTCAAATGCACTACTGTTTCATGTCTCAGCACTTTGGTTCATGCTATTCTTTCTGTCTGTAATGTCTACTATTTCCTCCTCAGCTTACTGACTTACTTCTGTTGTAGGACTTGATTCAGTCGGGCGTAGTGTTACATACGTGTAATTCCAGGACAAATTCAAGCTCAAGCAGAACAACTTAGCAAGACCCTGTCTCGAAATAAAATATAAAAAAAGGGCTGGGGATGTAGCCCACAGAGAAGGCCCTTGATTCAATTCTTAGTATTGATGAAAACAAAACAAAACCCTAATTCAGCTCCATTGTCTTTAGAAAAGCTCTCTAAATCATTAAGCACAGAGTAAAGTGCCTGTACATATCTATGTTTATCATATTACTAACCATATTATAATGAAATTATATATTATATATCTCCATCGAATAAATTTCTCAGTAGGAAAGATTTTCCTTCAACCGTCTTTTTAGATACTGCACCTTAATATGGTACTTGAGACCATAGTTTAGTTAAATAAGAGTTAGTATCAAAAAAAATTTATTTGCTGAACATCAAATTGCCAGTGTGTCCTGTTTAAAATTTTCAACAACCAGTAGTTGTTTAAGAGTCATATGTACTGCTTATTATATTTAACTTTTTTGCTGATCAATTCAGTAAATATCTATTGAAGCCATTCATACACAGCACAACTTTTCCATGGGAAATGAAACAGGTTAATATTCACTGACATTTAAAAACTCATACTCTTTATTAATAGAATAAAACCAAAGGTTGAAAATGGCTAAGTAAAAAGAACCAAATAATTGTTATTTGTTGTTAGTACAATATATTTCCTCAGATCACATAGTATGATGATATATTATCAGGCACTGAGTACATAAAACTATTTTATTATTTTTAAAACTTCACTTATAGCGGCTTCTGGTAATTTGAAAAAATATAATTCAAGGGTTTATAGGTAAAACCAATCAAAATCAGACATATAATCTTCAACCCATCAATTCTTTTTCCTTTTAATGTCAAATAATTACAAAGAATACAAACGTCATTCTAAAACTAATATAAGAGAAAAAGTAAAAAATATTAAATTCTAATATTTAAAGATCTAGACTTAGAAGGCTACAGCAATCATCCTACTCCTTACAGGTTTACTAGGGAAAACGAAAATACAATTGTTACCATTTTCAGAGTATTAGGCAGCTTAGCCTAAAATAGCATATGATATAAGGTATTTGGCTAACTTAAGAAAGAGTGAATTAGCACTCAAAAGTTGAAAAAAATTAAAACAAATCTAAAGGGTACGCTCCTCATTGGAATAAATGAGTATTTCCCATATTTTTAGCAATGCTTTCTGAAGGGGCACAGGTCAGATCACCAGCAGCTAATACTTAGACTCAACCATCTACCAAGTATCTCAAGAAATTAGATCATTCACCCCAGTTTTTATTAGAAGCTGATCTACAAGGGAGCATAGCCTCAGAAATCCACTAAGTAATCAAATTATCTTTTTTACTAATAACTAGCAGTTTACTTCATATAACTAACACCTGGATTCGTATTTATTATAGATGAACAAAAGGCTATGCAAACAATTTCATTTATGCAGATCAGAAACTGATGTAATCTTACTTGCTGTTCCAGTTTTTCCCATCTTTACACCCAAGTTGTCGAAGTACACTGCACCTGCATTGAAGATTTAAACACACTTAAAAAAAGTCCGGAGAAAACATGTTGAGGTGTCTTGCCCAGTGAAATACAACTCTAGCTTACCTATTAATAAAGTCTATGGCTTGTGCTTTCAACTGCTCTGCACTGTGCAAATCTGCAAGGACAAGGGTATCCGCAACATTTTCTACTGAGAGGTTACTACACAAAGCTTCTTCACACATGACCTTCAGCCGTTCCAGTGCATACTATCCGAAAGAAAAATATAACCAATAATATTTACTCTATGTTTTAAAATATGACTTAAGGCAGATTATTCTTTTAAGTACAGTTATTTTGTCATTCAATCGTTGTTTAACAATGCAAAAATATGAAAAAATGCATTTGCTTTTAGGAAACTACAATTCACATAAGCACAAAATATTATATATTTTAAAAGTAGCATTTATGCTACAAAAAGTACGTTATGATAAGACAAGCAAGTTTAAATACTTCACTGTTTCCCTTGTGTGAGAAATCAAAAGAGTATAATGGAGGACAAATATTGATAAGTAGGAAGAACATCTTCAAATGGAAAGGAGAACACGGGAGGGACAGAAAGAAGCAAAAAGGAAAAAATTTAAAGACAATGGAAGGAAAAATATGGAAACAACTTTTGTAAACAGAGAAGAGAAGAACAGTTGAAGGGAGGGAAGGGGAAATGGAAGAAAAAAAGAACTAAAACTTATGTATTATGTAAGTATTATATACAGGTACAAATTTCCTATGAGGAATGTGATCAATATGTATGACAGAGATGTACTAATAAAAAAAGAAAAAAATTTAAAAAGAAAAAGGAAATAAAAGAAAAAAAGGTACCTTATGCCTTAATATTCCTCTTCTCTGAACACAAATGTATAACCTAGTACACAGTATATTGTGCTACTATTAAATCTTGAAGAATGAATTTGTTAAAAACTAAACAAGTCTTTTTCATAATCACAATTCTTGCAGCTATTAGTGTGCACAGTACATTATAAACCATCTTTAGCAGCTTTAGTGAATTATAATTGACATATGTAAGAAGGAAATCAGTGTGGCGAGCCCTCAAAAATCTAGGGTTGGAGGTCCCATTCAATAAAGTTACTCTTTTTCTGGGTACTTTCCCAGAAGAATTGAAAACATACTACAGCAAAGTATGTGCACCCATGTTTATAGTAGCATAACCTGTGATAGCTTAATCTTAGAAACAACCTAAATGCCCATCAACTGAGGAATAGATAAGAAACGTGGTATTTTTATACAATAGAGCACTACTCAGCTACAAAGACGGATAAACTTGAGGTTTTTATAGGTAAACGGACACAACTGAACCCATACTCATAAGTGAAATAAAATCAGACTTGCAAGTGTAAATAGCATATTGTCTCCCTAGTTAAAAAACTGAACAAGTAAATGAGATCCAAAATGTACAACAGATACTGTGAAAGTGAAAGAAACTGCTCAAAAAGAAAGAACAACTGGGATAGGGAAAAGCAGAAAAAGATTACATACACACACATACACACAGATAAATAGGCACATATGTTGAAGATAGATAACTATACTACTCTCTGGTTATATAAAAGAATGATTTGTGTTTTTATTGTTTGATCATTTTTTTCATGCCTATACCTTGAAAATCTGAACAACTATTTTGAAGATAACAATATACAATATATTAATCTGTTAATCTAAAAAAGCATATTAAATTTATACTATAAATTTATAATAAACAACTTACAACTTATAAAATTATAATTATTAAACTATTAAAAAATTATACTTACTGTAAAAATTTATACTTTGATAATATTTATATTTTGATAATTTTATACAGCCACAAAACCATCACTTCTCAAGACAGTAAATACACCCATAATCCCCAAAAGTCTCATTTCCCCTTTTCAGTCTTTTTGTATGCCTTCTGTCACTATAGGTTAGTTTCCATTTTCACAAGTTTTCTATAAATGAAATTTATGTACTCATTTTTGTCCAGTTCTTGCACTCAAGATACTTTCAGATTTACACCTCTACTTGCCTGAATTAGCAGCAGTCCAACTCTCACTGGTAAGCATTTTATGACATACAGAGATAACAGAATTTATCCATTCACTTATTGAACATCTGGGTCACTTCTAATTCTCAGCTATTACAAATAAAGCCACTACATTCATATACAAGTTGTATGATAGATACGTTTTTTTCTTGGGTTAAAAACTTAAAATTGGTCCCACTGGATCGTACAGTAAATTTAAATTTGACTGTGTAAGAAAACCACCAAACAGTTTTTCAAAGGGGCTAAACCATTTTTTAGTGCTATTAACAGTATCTGAAGGTGCTAATTCTTCCATATTTTTGATAACACTCAACGTGATCCTGGTAATTTTAACAATTATTAATAGATATACATTATTAATAATAATTGATATGCATTATTAATAGATTGATTTTAATTTCAATGATACCAGGCATCTTTCAATGCACTTCATTTCAGGAAGTGGCTGTTCAAACATTTTATTCACTTTTAGCAAAACCACTGCACTTCTGTAATTGAGTTCTGAGCATTCATTAGTCTGGCTATAAATGTCAGATATGTATTAAATGTGCTTTTCAGATTTAAAATCACTGCCTTTAAGATTTTCTGGTATTTTGGCAGATTCCCTATCTCCAAGAGATCAGTATTGCAACAGAACATGATACAACTGTTAATTTTCTCTTTTTTGTATGGTCACATAATATAAATTTATTAATATAGAGAATTATATATTTTCTCCTTAAAAAAGGACATGCATTGTGTCTTAAGGCTAAAATATCTCAAAACTGTAATAAATTTTATATTGTGTTGTGTATCCCTAAAAAAGGACATTTAAAACTATTGAGTATAATCTCCCAAGAAAAAATTACTTCTTCCTAGCTAAGGACATTTTAATAACTTGCTAATTTTTTAAACAATATAACTTCCATACTATGCTACCATAGGATATGTCACACAACTATCAAGAACTATCAACAAGCACCACACATTAATTCAATATTTCGAGTTGTTCAGAATCTTTATTTGATGATGATAGCTTTCTATATACATCAAGCTGGAGGATATTTTTCAACTCTTTAAAACCTAATTACTTACTTTGTCTGCAGCTGCCAACAAGCTGTCAGCCATTTTATCAAGATTTGGTGCTTTCCCTGTGTAAATGAATCTCATCATTTCCTTAAAAACCTCAGGGTCTAAATCATTTATTTCCACTCGATTCTGATATTGAAAACAACACAAAAAAGTTCAGTGAAAGAATATATACATGTATACATCCAAATGAACCAAAATGAGTCTTTGACATTAATTTTAAAACCCCAAATCTGTTCTAACATACTTTATCACTCAAATAAATATTCCATTTTAAAACTGCGGCAAGAAAATCTTCACTAACTTAGCCAAAATTCATGCTATTCTTGTTAAAATGAATTAATGTCCTCTTATTTGGTGTTGAAAATATACCTACTGCTTGAAAACAGATTCCAAAGTTAATCCTAAGTCTAGAAAGACAAAGATATATCTTTATCAAAGACTTTTCAAAACTAAGTATGGACCAGAAGACTTTTTCTTAGTACTGAAGATCAAACCCAAAGTGCTGGGCATGGCAGGGACATGCTGTCCTAGTAAATGAGCTGTATCTGCAGTCCTTGAAAAGTCCATTAGGGTAACAACTATCCATTTATTTAGCTATCAAATGAGTATCAAAACAGCTTTACTTGTAATATTCACCACAAAGACCTACATTTACATTTTTTTCATCTTTTTGTTTCTAAAAGGTTTTCCTTTTTCTAGCTAAACAGATGTACTCCAATACCATATTCTTAAGTGAAATAAATTGGACATATATGTGTAAATACCATATTGTTTCTCTGGTGAGAAACCAAAAATGTACGTAACAATCAAAATGTATAACAGATATTGGGAAGTGGGAAGAAAATGTTCAAACAAGAAGGGGAACAAAGAGGAGGGCTGGGGATAGGAGAAGGAAAAGAAAGAGATTAAAAGGAAAAAATAGAAACAAAACTGTTTTGTAAATAGAGAGGTAAAGAAAGGTTGAAGGGAGGGGAAGGGAATCAGAGAAAAAGTAACAGCATGAAAATATATGTACAATTTTCCTGAGAATGCTATCATTATACCCATAAAATAAAAAAAGAAAAGGTTTCCCTTCTTACTGCAGTGAAATGAGAACAGGGCACTATTACTTTTAAAATATACATTCTATTACTTTACACATGTGCAATTTAAATATTAAACCTTTAAGCCATATTACCTTTTTGCTTTCTTCCATTTCATGTTCAAACATTGCATTAAAAACTGGAGATCGAGCTGAAACAAGATTAAATATCATTACTTAAAGCACAAATTTGTTTTAAAATATGTACTAATCCAAAGTAGTAAAAGTACCTGCAAGCACAGATTTATGAGCTTTAAATTCTTGTCCTCTGACAAAAAAACTGCAATCAGTAAATCTTGTGTTTTCCCAGAGATTACCTAAATCTTCTGCTAATCGACATTCAGGCACCTTCAAAGTATTTGTATTAGTATGTCCTGATATATTTACTGAATCTTGAACCACACTCACCTAATAAAAGAGAAAGCAGGAAAAATTTTGACAGATTAACAGTTATATCTATACTTAAATTAACAGTTATATCTATACTTAAATTCTTTATTTTAAAAATCATGTAATATCAATGTACTCCTCGTCAAAAATCCTAATACTGAGAAATTTAGTAATTAATTATGTAAGAGATGTAATACAGAAAAAATTAGAAACAAACTAGATCTTTTTCATAAATGTCATTTTAGATTAAAAAAAGTCTTACCAATTAGTTGCAAAAATTAATTATTATATTTCCAAACACTTATTCTGAACACAAAGTAGTATTAAACATGAATAAGGGACTAATAAAAATAAGAGAACAAGGAAAAAATAAGAGGGCATATGTATAAGGTAAAAAAAACCTATTTTTTTCACTTACACTTTAGACCTATTAACATTTAAATTTTACTATATATTCAATTTAATGATTCTTACATGAAAAATGTATAATAATATGGAAATCACAAGCTTTTAAACTATTGTTTCTCTAGGTTTCAGCTCTAGTAAAACTGATTTAAATACCCGGACCTGGTAAAATTAGTTTAAATTTTAAACTAAGAATTCTCACAAAAGCAATCGCAATTATTAAATTCATAGAAATCTTTTCTGGAAAATTAACAGCAAGAGCTACACTACTTTTCAGAAAAGGTCTTCCACTATATTTTACTGGAAATTCCACATTAATTAATCAAGAAAACAGCAGCACCTCAAATAAGCAAATGTTTCAAAGTAAACTAATTTTAAAAATTATATAAAAAGTTCAGAATTAACTACCTATTATTTTAAGCTAAGTTTGGTCATTATGTATCATTCATAGCTACATTCATTTTTAAAAAGCACAAAAAAGAATATATAATGAGAGTAAACTATAGAAAATATAAATCAGAAATGGAAAACTTGGACCAGTAATAGTACTTTATAACATGATTAAGACAGAAAACATTTATTATAATCTTGTCAGATGTCTTTCTAAATATGACGGCTGAGATATTATGTACAAAAATAAATCCATCAATAATAGTCCTGCTGTCTTACTAAGTTTTTAATCATTCAAATTGCCTCTAAAATATTAATAATTATAAAACAGGAAGAAAAACTGCTTCACTAATCTTTACTTGATTGCCTTATTCCAGTACACATCATAAACTAATAATATATAAACTCCAAAGCTGTTAGCACTAATATTCTGGGTTTAGTCATGAATTAGTTTTTAAGCATAGAAACTCTATTTATTTGCTCATATTATGTATTATTCTTGAAAACTCTAGGTAGAAAGAACTGGATCTCTTCAATTGCAGTATTCACTAGAATTATAAAAATTGTGATGATATTGTCTAATTCAAAATAATGCATTTAATGCAAAAATGTGGCAAAAATTAGGTAACAGAAAAAATGTAAAAAAGATATTATTAGTAGATATATAAATATATGATTTATATTTGTATTTGCAGTCACAATTCAGAAGACTTATCTACCTATTCAACTACAAGTTTGAACTAAGATACGTAATTAATATTTTACACTACCAAGAATATTGGAGGACTATCTGTGCAAGGATTTCTGTTATTTTATATCTATAATTAATAAAATGATAAAAAATTAGCTTTTTCTATTACATACTCAAAACCAGTAATTTATAGTTACAGATGGAACCTAGAATAAAAATTCAGGAAGAAGGCTGAGATTCTTTGTTGACTTGACTCATTTGATAATTCTTTCCCAACTGTTTTTGGCTCAAGCCCAAGATTTTAGATAGAAGCTGAACATCTTGTAATCATAATCAACTCTCCAACTTTCTAAAAAGTCTAGGTCTTCTTTAATGTGGAACAAAGGTGAGTTTTGGTTCAGTTTCAAAATCTGAATTCTCCAAACTAATTCTGCAAGTTAGGAATTCCCAAAACTACCTAGTATAGTCCTCTAAAGTTGTCAGCCTAATTTGACTATCTACTGCTTCCCACACTAACTTCAGTGTGAGTAATCTTTATGATTACATCTTACATTGTCATCCAGAAGAATGGGTCTGAAAGTTTTAGACTTTCATAGATAGGTTTTATTTTTAAAAACATGTTACAGAAATAAGGCAGTCTACTTTTTATCTTTCTAGGAAAGAGCTTTATAGAAAACAAAACCCAACTTCTACCCTCTATCATGAAGATTTTAAAACAGAAAGACTTATCTCATATCCTAGCCAGAAAGAAAAAAATAGAATGGGGCAAACAGATGTGTTCCTAAAATGAGTTAGTTTAAATTTATGAAAAAGCTCCTTATATTTTTTATGTATATTTATATATTTTTCTAAATACCATGGAATGACATGGGTCTCAAGACTATGTTGGAGTATTTAAAAGTCTATTGCATTTCAAAAGATGAATTAATCTAAGTTTTCTATTAAGTAGTCTATTAATCTAATAAGTCTCCTACTTATTTCTTAATTCTTACTATCTGCATCATTATTATGATTGAGAGGAGGCACAGCTGTTTATGCTGCTAGAAACTGCCTTTTGCCTTTACTTGAACCACTATATATAGACTTTGCAAGATGGAGCTATGTCTTGCACAAAAAGGGTAGCACCTACCTGCCTTACCTGTCTACAGCACCACTTGCAGGGGAGGGGGAGGAGGCAGTTCTTTGGGTAGGGCAGTGCAATGCTTCCTCCTCTTCTGCAAGCAGTGCTGGAGATGCTGTAGAAGGAAGGGCATCCATCAGAGGGGCAGAAGAAATGATGGAGGGCATGAAGAATATTTAAAAGCATTTTTTTTTGCCCACCTACAATAAATATGGTGCCCAGAGTATAAATTCTAAATTAGTAACAAGATAAAAGATACTTATTTCAGAATCTAAAATAGACCTGATCAATGCCAACTCAAAAAATGTGTATCGTGAGACATTTTATTTTTTTTGGGGGGGGGTCACTAGCATGTTCAATCTACCACATGGATACCAATCATACTTGAAAATTCATGTCAAAAATATTTCAGCCTTATTCTGAATTTCTTGGTTATCTAGGTTCCAGCTCAAAAGCACTTAAGAAAATATCTGTAAACACTATTTCAATTCTAAAAACGTTATTTTCTAAAGAAGTTCATTTCCAAAAGAAGATTTTAGCTGCATTTAAAAAAAACTACATTAAATAATATTGAAGGACCATTCATTAAATATGGCATTTAAAAATTGACACATCCAAATTTAAGATAACTGCTAAATTCTGGAAAAGTCTACATTAAGGTTATTGAAACTCTTTTAAATCATAAAATATGTATTTACTTTGTTTACTACTTGGAATATCTACTATTAGCAACAAACACTTTGTTCTGTTATTTTCAAATTATTTAATGAATGTGTGCTATGCTTTCTCATTCGTATAACTGGGTCTACAGTAAAATTAATCGAATATTTAATTTATCTTAGCCTAATGAAAATAATGCATTATATTGTCTCTGGTATCCTATTTAAATTATGATGCATATGCCATTATGATAAAAGATAACAATAGACAATTAATTTGTAATCTTGTCAAGTAATTTTGCACATTTACTATGGAGAGATTAAAGCTAATTTAACATTTAAGGAAGTTATTGGGCTTCCAGTCTACATTTATTATTAAAGCATATTTAATTTTGAGTATATTTCAAATAGTTTTCTCAGAAAAAATTACTACATGGTTTAAACATTTCAATAAAACTGTACAGGAAACATAATTCATTCCAAAGATGAATCTCAAAAATTCATATAGATCAAAGTACTTAATGATAATAACAAAATTAAATGCCAACATTAAGACAAATCACAAGTAATTTGCAGGGGGAATACTGGTAATCTTCAAAACATTATGTTTTATGCACATAAATTTACCTTACATATTTGTCAAAATACATGTGAACATATTAAAATCGGAGACCTATTTTTTAGTTAAATAATTGGAAGGCTTTCCAATCTTTTTCAAGCATCGTACTTTTGGATTCAAGCTAATAAACTTTGAGTAATAATGTTTAATATGATCAATTTAAACAAATTGGTTATGTATATATCAATTACTCAGATATCTAGAAAAATTCATTACAAAAATATGCATATTCACAGTCTATTGAAAAGTAAGAAAGATTCAGTATGTGTTATAATTACAATGACAATTTATACCTAGAGACATGCCAAAACCTTTTCCCCCACTGGGCCACCATATTGATTTGTAACACAATGTACTCAGCTTTTTCTAATCAAACATTTACATTGGAAATTTTAATTTTTAAAGTATTACCCAATAATGAACAGTTTACATTTTTGTCTTATCACTAAACATAAGCATGGAGCTTCTTACAGTAAAATATATACTCACCTCACAAAATAATGTAAGCTTGTCATCTGGCAAAAGACCATTAGCTTCATCAAGCAAAAAATCCCTTCTAATGAATTTTTTAAATCCCCAGTCCTTCCCTTGAACAAATCGATATGCTCTTTGGCTTTCTGGTAGAAAACAGAAATTTAAGTAAATCAAGTATCCAAGAAACATTTTTCTTTATCATATAGAGAAAAGAAATATGCAAAAATAGAGGACTTGGCCAATACATGCCCATAAAAATTATAGATATGTGTGTTCATAAATAAAATGTCCTACGAATTCAATCACTACTCAAATTTTGGCCATAGTGTAATTTTTGACTTCTGAAATCTCTTAAGAAGAAAAAGACAAATAAAAGCTTGTGGAGAGAAAAAAGATTTTTAACAACATGGGCTTTAAAAGATAATGAAATAGGACCAAAAATGTTGCCATAGCCATACTCATACTATTCATTATCTGATATAAGAATATGGCTAGAAACATGTTCTAAATTCTTATTTCAATTTTTAAAAATTGGTATTTTCAATTTTTTAAGCTTTCCTGGCACACTAACTCTGTTAGTAAATTTAATGAACTACAGAAAAATCCGTGAACTGCTAAAAATGTTAAAAAGTTCCTTTCAATCCCAACTCTTTAAACAATTCTTTTGTCCCTAAAAAACACTTTCATAGAAGTCACATAAGCAACTCATGGTGACATATCCTTATAATCCCAGGATTCCAGGAGGCTGAGGCAGGAGGATCCCAAGTCCCAGTCCAATGTGGGCAATTTACAGATTTAGCAGCACTGTATGTCAGAATAAAAAAAAAAATTTTTTTTTTAAGGGATAAGGGTGTATCTAAGTGTGAAGGCCTTGGGTTTCATCCTCAGTGCTTAAAAAAAAAAAAAATGAAAAGAAAAAGGATTTTCATAATATCTGAAGTAAATGTTTCAAATTTTTAAAGTACTATAAAAATACATATTGGGAAATAAATGAAATCCTCTAGAGTAAGTATTCGTGATTTACAATGTAAAGAGTAAAATCAAGATGGAAAATCAATAATCTAACCAGAATACTATCTTTAATGTTAAACAATGTAAAAACGTACATAAATTGGCATTACCTTGTCAATAAAGGATAGTTTAAAAGTGTGTGTGTAGTTTTAAAACATTTTTTTAATAAAACTACTTGATTCTGTAACTCACTTCTAGAAAATACTTAAAAATTAATGTGGCAATTCATGAGAGATTTTCCTTCTATACATACCATGCATTTTCTATTAGGAAGCTTTTGAAAACAAAATTTTATCTGGGCCTTGTATAAATATGACTCCTGGACTGAATTTAACAGATACTAAGCCTAGATCTTGAGAAAAGCTGATTTTCCTTCAGTGCAGAGTCCACTACTTAAAAAATTGTAGTACTAGCATTCTGGAACATTATATTTCCTTTACATAGTTCTCCAGATTTTATTACCTCCCCAAAATAAGTCTTGAACATCTTATTATATATGCCAGGCAGTGAACAAATCACTTTGCCCTAAAAACAACTATTTTTTCCAAGCAACCAATAAGTGTCATTTTAGGACAAGAAGTAGTTAAATTATATTACAGGTTTAGCTACTTTCCTATGTCTTATGAAGTCTAAGGATTAATAGAACAGTATTTATGTGGAACTATAGTTGGGCCAAGGTTGGGCTAAGTATATTTTGGTGGGAGAAAAAAATCCCAAACTTTTCTAGATAAAGATACGTAAGTCACAATACGTAATTACACACAGATTCCTTCACTTAGTTTGCAAATCACTTACCCATTGCTTTTGTTTCTTCCCTTTTAGCATTCAGAAGGGAAAATTTGAATTTTGCTCGAACTTCACTTTTAGGGCAGCTGACTAAAAGCAAATATAAGGACAAGTAGTCTTTACTTTCATCATCTAATCCCTTTGGGTTTACCCTCAGGCACCTAAAATAAAACAACAGGCTCACTTACAGGGAATACAATACTCAAAGCATGTAAAAGAGACAGGCAATACTGAAATCTGAAATCATCTGTTACTATCACAAATAGCTCTTCTATAAACATCCCCACAATTTACAATTCACCCATACTATTAAGAACTTATTATCAATGTAATAAAAATACTATATAATACCCACCCCTTTGGAGACAACAAGAACAACAAAATCATGTAAGTAGTTGATGACCACATTAAAACAAAAATAATTTAACATAAACAAAAATCTTACCATTTCATTTTGTCACTTGGACCAGATGAAAATGTTGAACTTTTTAGCACTTCACCCATTTCTTCTCGACAAAAACTAAAGTTATTAATGGTCCACATGTAGGAAAATTTTACGACTTTAACCTAAGAGATTTAGAAAATCACTTTTTAAAATGATGACACTTGTGCTTTTAATGTGTCACATTTTAAATATTCTATGCCTCGTTCTTCTAGCCCTTCTAATAACCATGCCAAAATATCTCAGAGTAATATTCTCAGGACAGTATAACACTTATAGATAACAAAGTTTTTGTTTGTTTGTTTGCTTTTTAACAGTACTGGGTGTCAAACCCCAGGGTGCCCCATTACTAACTTACATCTGTAGCCCTTATTATTTTATTTTTTAAGTTGCCAAAGCTGGGCTCAAACTTGTGATCCTTCAGTCTCAGCCTGAGTCCTGAGATTACAAGTGTGTGCCACCACTAACGAAGCCATTTTAAATACTACAAAAGGCATTTGTAATAGCATGTACCTGTGTGTAACACCAGCTTTCTGCTATAGGACCAGTGGACATATCTCCAGGCAGAGGTGGGGTGGGTTCCCGAGACATTGCCACCTTGCAGTCTTTTAGGATTTATGCAGTAACCCACACAGGTGAGTACTTAACCTACAAAAAGTTTAATTTACAGACAAAAATTTAACTGACAGAGTGAAGAATACATATTTAAAAGTCATGAAGCGTTTACTATTCAAAATTAGATTCTGAAAAGAACATATAAAATTTCAAATAATTTTGATAATTTTATGAAATGAATTCACAAGCATTCATAACATACATTTGAAACCTAAACATTATTCTTATAGATATTATTTTTCAAGGCATACTGTAAAAAATCATAAATCAAAAGAAACCATGTAGCTGAATAGTAAGATCATATCATGAAAACTCAATGCCATCAAAATCTAATTCATCATCCTTCACCTTTTTATTGACCTATTTTTGAACAGTGAAAGATTTATAGCTACTGCTATTAATATTAGCTACTCATCTGTTAGATTCAGAAATTTTCACCAAGTAAAACACAGATTTCTAAAGTGTTCTATCTTATACTGTCTCATCAGAATTTTGTCTCTATTATAGTTTCCTACTTAGTTGAATTATACCTTAAAATTCACTCCCAGTTAGCTCTCTATATCCATTTGAATACCTAATTAATGCCTTATAACATAGTGAGCATACTAACAAAGAGATGATTTTTTTTTATTTTTATACTTGAATAAATGAAATTGATGATTATGTTTTTAACTACATAAACAGTGTACTCTGTAGGCATAAAAAAAAAGTTCCAAGATTATATTTCTATATGTACACTCAAGTCTGGACAACCACCTTTTCAAAATAGTTGACAAGGGAGGGAAATCATATAAATCCTATGGGGAGCGGGTAATACATAAAAGAAAAAAAAAGACCTTACACAAAATTCAGATGAAATTATATGCATAATCTTTATAGTATGAGATGAGAAATAATAGTATACGATGAGAAAACAAAGACTACAAAGATTAAAGGATCCTGTCTGAAAGATAGAAACACTAAAAATTTGCATTAAAATAAATACATTCAAGACAGGGAAATATCAGTATATACTTTGAATACATACAAGAACAATGAACAAAAAGAAAGTAACAGCTATTAAAGACAAAACAATCAAAATTACTAACAGATGACTATTCTAAAAGGTACTAAAATAAATAGAAAACCAGTTATAATCAAAGATAACATGCAGGAAGACTATGACCTACATGAATTAGATCCATAAAAATCAATAAAAATTAAGAAATCACTACTGAAATATATTTTGTGAAACTTAAAATGAGAAAAACTGTTGTAAATATTCAGATAATCTCCCTTTTCTATTTTCTGCTAAAAACATAAAGAAAACCGAATTATTACTACAGATCTAATGGGGAAGGGAAAAATTCATTGCCAGGTGTATAAAATATGTACACCACTCTGACACCTATTTAGCAGAGGGTATAAATCCCTCAAATACTTTCTAGCCAGAGAGATAAATCAAAAGGAAAACCAAAAATCTGCATAATGGAGTTCTGATTTTTTTTATCAGTACATGAGCTTTTTAAAAAATTAATTAAATATTTTTTTTAGTTTTGAGCAAGGTCATAGTTGCTATATAGCCCAGGCTGGCCTTGAACTCAAGGTGATCCTCCTGTCTTAGCCTCTGGAGAGTTTACAGGAATGTGCTAGCACACCTGGCTATTAGTGCATGTTTGTATTACATAATGTTTACATTGCTTGCAGATAGTATATGCACTGTCTTATATTGCTTTCTCAACGCTGACACCCAAAGTTAAATTAGGAAAGGTTTCTTTCTTTCTTGTAGTTTATGTAAGTTTTAGGCCATAGCTGGCTCCAAGGCAAGGCAGCATGGCAATAAAGAAACAGTCTGCCTTCCAACTTTCCTTTTTATTCCACTCAGGTTATAAATTTAATAGTTGGTATCTCCCATACCCAGGGAGAAGCTTCCCTTTACTCTAAGATAATGCTAACCAATCAGTGAACTAATCCAATTACCACACCTTTAATCCATAGTCACAGACCCTTACACACTCACAAACTCTACTTCCAGCAAAAGTCCCACGTACAAACACACGAGGCTTTGTGGGGACATCCTGATACAAGACATTACATTTCAGCTGCGGCCCCCTAATGACTCATGTTCATCCATTACACAAAAGGCATTTAGTCCATCTCTAAGAGTAGCCAAAGTCTTAAGAGTTGCAGTGATCCCGAAAAGTCCAAATGCAAAGTGTCCTTTGAGATTCATGGCAAATTCACAGCTACAAGCCCCTGGACAAATAAAAAAAATTGAATGTTTCCAATATACTATGATACAAATAGCATTAACAAAAAGGAATGGGACCAAAGTCAGGTCCAAAATCCAGGAGGGCAAATAAATCCTGTATTTTCAAGTCCACCATCCAGGGTAATCAACAGCAAGATGTGAACTCCAAAGGGCTTGGTTGGCTTTGCCCCTAAGGCACTGCTGGTAGTTTCTCTCTTCAGTTGGCTTTACTCATTCTTTGCAGCTTTCCTCAGACAATCCCTGTGCCTCACTTCTCCAATGTTCTGGACTCCACTGCACCTTTGGTTTCATGCTCAACAGCTTTACACACTGTTCTCTCAGGAGCACACTTAGGCCTTTTTCTTAACTCTGAGTAGAAGGTTCCTGGACCCCTCATCTGTTGTGTTCTACACGCCCCTAAAGCCAGCACTATTTGGATGACAGCAAGGTCTCCGACTCAGCTCAAGGGAGAAGTTAGGCTTCCTTCTCTCCTGCCTATAGAAGTTGAGTGTCTGGTCTGCTAAGTACTTTTGAGCCTAGTTTCCAAGAATAAATTCCCTAGGCTACTGTCATTCTGGAACATGGTGCTCTGGGGCTGTCTTCTCAAAGCAGTCTTTCATCCCTAATTTTAAAGCAGCAAAGTGATTAGTTCTTGTGATGGCTTCAGGCATCTTTTCTACTGTCCTGTTCCTTTTCAGTAACCAACTTGTCTGCTCATTCTTTGAAGGCTTTTACCTTTATTGGAGCTTCCTTCTAGTCGAACTCAAAATCTTTAACATCATTTTGCTGGGTCCTTTGAGCTTGATTTTCCACATAAATCTCACTGAAATCCCCTTAGCACTGGATTGCCTAAACATGTCTTCCATGAGATTTATTAGTCTACCATGCTGAATCTGTCTCCTGTAAAATCTCTGGACATGGGCAAAAAGCAAACGAATTTTGGCAAAGCACAACATTTGTGGTTTGGAGTCCAACTGCCAATGTAGAGCTTTTTCCAAAAGAAACCTCCTGAGCTTGGGCTTTTCCAGCTGTATTTCTATTAGCTTTCTGGTCTTTAGAGCTCTGAGCAAAATCTCCTATCAAATTCAGCTTGTAGCATTGCAGGGCTACTTCTTCAGCTGGCATCTCCAAACCTTTCCAAAATCTTTCCACAAGCCAGTTTGAACATATTCTGCACCACATGGTCAGGCAGTGTCATAGCAATAAGCACACTTTTCTGGTACCAAAATCTTTCTCAACTATTCCTTGTTGCTGGGACAAAATACTCAACACCCTAAATTAAAGGAGGAATGGTTTATTTTAGCGCATAGTTTAGGAAGAGATATAAATACATAACGGATATACAAGATAGGTTTATAATGATCTGGAACTCACTATAGTATATTCCTTAAGTCCATACCAGCAGGTAGAAGAGTCTACCTTATAATACTGAAGGGTCTGCACTGGAAGCCAAGAGATGGCACCCAAGGCAAAGGTGAAGACTGGAACTTCTCTGAAGAAACAGAGGTTCGCCTTCCTTTGTCATTTCCCTTTTATTTCATTCAGGCAGCAAGCCTATTGGTTGGTGTCACTTCTGTCTTCAGTAAATCCGTTCAGGCAAACCCAGAACTATGCTGATTCAGTTTAATTTGGTGCTCCTTATACAATCAGTTAACTATCACAAAGTGTAATAGTTGGCGCCACTAACAACCAGGATGGGCTTTTCTATTACCCACACCCAGAATAATGTCAACAAATCAGTAGAGCAATCCAATTATCACATATTCAATCCATATTCACATACCCTAGATCCAGTCACCTCTGAAAAGCTCCACCTATGAGCACAAGACGCTTTTGGGAGAACATCTAGCTACAAACCATAACATATGTATAACACATTTTAATTTTTTAAATCCTCTTGTCCTTTTTACTCCTTCCACTTATCTCTTGATTCTCTTCCTTTTGATTTTTTGTACATATCTGCAGTAGATAATGCTTATATTCCTTGTAAGCAGTTGGTACATGTATGTAACACATATCACTCTGTGTTTTTTTACTGCCTTTTTTAAAACTCTTTCCTCTTCATCTCTCTCCCTCTTTCTTTTGATCGTGTTTGACAAAGATCTCTCTTTACTTTCCAATTCTCTATCTTTTGTTGCTTATTTATACTTTGAGTTTCTCATGCAAGTGAAACTCTGCAATATTTATGCTTGTATGTTTATTTCACTTAACATTATGGTCTCAAAGTGCATCCATTTTCCTATAAATGACTCAGATTTAACTATCTTTGTGGCAGAGTCGTACTCCATATCACATTTTCCTTATGGACGCATTTGTTGACAGACATATAGCCCACTTTCAAAATCTACCTACCATGAATTGTGCTATTATACACACGGGTATAAATGTATCACTGTAATATGATGTCTTTAACTCTCAGAAAGACAGCTGTTGGGAGGAATAGCTGACTCAAGTAGAATTTCTAGTTTCAGTTTTTGAGGGGTCTCCACACTGACTTCCACAGTAGCTGCACTAGTTCTGGTTTTTATAACTCTTGAATATGTAATAAATTTATGTTTTAACACTGAATAGTTATACACATGTACTAACTTTCCATGATGAATGTAATCATTATGCATTGTAAACATGTATAATAAAAAGTAATTTTAAAAACTGAATGTATAAAAGACTGGGAAAATAAGTCAACTGGATATTATGTGAAACTATGAAAAAACATTTTTAAGGCACAAAAATCAGTGGATCTACGATTTGGTTTTGGAATATGTAAATGAAGGAAATCAAAAGATACAGGGTAAAGAGAGGGAAAGAAAGGAGACGAAAAAAGGAATTGAGATGTTGTGTTCATGTTCCAACTTCACAAAAGGAATGTAAACATGTAATACAAAGATGTATTAATAAAAAAGCAAATAAAATGAGGGGAAGGTATTCATTTGACTTTTACAAATTGAGAAACAGCTGATTTAATGTGGTTAAAGAAGAAAAATCTTGGCTGAATTAGCTATAATTTATTCATCTGCAGGTATTTTTTTCAAGTAGCCACTATAGTATTTATAGTATATTCTATAAGTTCAGGAAACATTTTAGTGAAAATTTTAGTAACAAGTAAATAAGTACTAAGGTGGAAAAGAAACTGTAGTAACATTAAGAAAAAAAAAGGAACAGCTAGTATGCAATGGCTAAAAGTCCATCGATTAAATAACAAGGAGGTTACTTTTGATAGGGAAATCAGTTAAGGCTTCTCCGAAGAACTAATGTTTGAGTTGAGAACCAAAAGATATGAGTGACAGCAGAGACAGACCAAGGGAAGGCGACTGTAAGTGATGCATATGTGTGTGTGTGTTAGGGGTAGGAGGACCAAGTAAAAATGCTGTAGGGCAAGAAACAATTTCAGAAAATGTCAAGAAAAGAAAGTTCAATATGACTCATGTCACTGTAACATTTTAGGTAGGGGGGAAACTGTAAATAACACTAAAACGGAAAAGAGATTTCAGGGAATAAACTGGCAATAAAGAACAAGGAAGTAAAAAGCTGGAAACCAAATCAGGAGGTTATTAAGAGCAGCCTAATAAGAGACAATAGTATGCCAGTAGAAACAGAGAAAGGGTCCCTTCATTAAGGAAAAGAAATCAAAGATCAGTCTTTTTTGGGAGCTAAGCAGTTTGGGAGGATGACAATGCCATATACTAATATGATAAAAATAGAGACAAGAACAGTAGGTAGTGGGGGATTCAGTTTCAGAGTGATAATATGGAACATTAGCAAATACTTCAAATGGAAGAATTCTGAAATTCATCTTTTCTGTAATTTCTCTTAATAATCACATCTATACAAATGTATTTACAATTTACATATAAAAGAGTTCCACCATATGATGCATGAGCAGCATAACACAGTGACCTTGGGACTCAGCAAATACTGAGGCAAGAAAGTTAGGGTGAAGATACTAGGGATGTTCTAAAAAGCACACACACACATGGCACAGCACTATTTACAACACCAAGATACACAATCAGCCTGAAAAAAGGCAAACAAAATTTTACTTTTCCTGGCCATTCTTTCAAATTATGTGGATATGGGATGGGGATATTGAAACTGCTGGTAAACAAATCACTTTTGGAGCACTTCAGAAGTTATTATGAACCTTGTTTACTCTTTAGTAATCCGATGGATGAGTATCGATAACATCTTAACCATGAGGAAATTATTTCAGACATTTCAGAAAGCTTAGTCTCTAACCTGAAAATGGTTACACATACATTGGCTTGATTCCAAAGTCCATGCTCTTTCCATAGAATCATGCTGTTCCTTAAATATTTCAGGGCTGATACAGGCCTTTCTGTTCCAATTTTTATTTTATAGATGAGGATCAAGATGAAAGGAATGAACTATGAAGAAGGAAATATCCGAGTATGAAATGTTAAATAAATACTGGAACAAAGGACAAAGACAAGGATCTCTGAAAGTACACTTCAGACCTATTTCCAACATACATTTCTTTCTTTTCAAAATGAATGAAAGGGGCTGGGGATTTAGCTCAGCGACATAAGCGCCTGCTTTGCAAGTGTGTCGTCCTGAGTTCGATCCCCAGTACCGATGAAAAAGACAAAAAAAAAAAAAAAAAAAAAGTCCAAAATGAATGAAAGAACAAAAACTAAAGAAAAGAAAACAATGGGAAGGGAAGGGAAGGGAAGGGAAGGGAAGGGAAGGGAAGGGAAGGGAAGGGAAGGGAAAGGAAGGGAAGAATCAACTATCCAATGCAACTCACACCTACGTATACTTAATCTAGCAGAAAAAGCTTACTGAAAGAGAAAACACCAATAAAGCAAGATCTAGAGTGACTTGAGAAAATCAACCTGCACATGGACAAATAGTCTCTTACATATCCTCCTATATACATAGATGCTCCTTTACTTACGATAGTTATGTCAAGTTAAATCATAAGTTGAAAAGACTGCAAATTGAAAACATATTTAATACACATAATCTACGACCATTAACTTAGCTACACAATATACTGTAAAGTATCAATTATTTCCTCACATGACTAAATAGGAACTGTGGCTCAATGTCACAGTCCAGCATTATGAAAGTATTTTACCATAAACTGCCAACTTCAGAAAAGACCAAAATCTAAAATTTCAAGTATGGTTTCTGCTGAATATGTATGGCCTTGATAACATCAGAAAGTTGAAATTTCCTAAAGCCAAAACTACTATAAATTAGGAATTATCTGTACCTGTTTGAGAAATTTCAAATGTGGAATTTCCTACATTAAAGACAAGCAAGTCTTGTTACCGGAGTACACATATATGAGATTTTCTACCTTATATAATGTCAAAATTAATATTTAGTACATATATATCTAAACATTACTACTTAATTTTATTATAAAATTTTCAAGTAATTTGGAAAATATTGCATATAAAGAATCATATTTCAAACTACCATGTGCCCACTAGCACATTTCCCTCTAACAGAAGTAACCTGGATCCTGGTTTTTCTAGTTATTATGCCAATGAATTTCTTCACATTCTTTTTATATATCTGTGAATTCTTAAAGCTTATAGGTAAAAATTCACAAAGATTTAATACATACAATGTCACAAAAAGAAAAAAAGAAAAAGGAAAGGAAGCAAAGCTCCATTCTTCTACCAAAGCAAAAAAGTGGGAAAAAACTGTAAGAATCAACTTTTCTTTGGAACTGTGGAATCTAATCAAAAACTTGGAGCAAGAAGATCTTCTTTTTGATTCAGGGTCTTCCTATGTATTTTAGGCTGGCCTCCAACTTGTGATTCTATTGTCTCATTAAGAATTGGAATTATGGGCATGTACCACCACAGCTACAAAATTTCCGTGAGACACGAACCAAAATAACATGATTAAAATGTATGCTAACAATAAATTCAATAAATAAAGTCTGTTCTTTAGATTTAGTATCAAAAGTGTTATAACATTCTAGCTTTATCAGAGAAGTGGTCATAATTATTGGTAGTAGCTATAGTTAGTCAATAAAACATATTCAAACTCTAGGATAACCACGTAAAGTAAAATGCCATAATAGCTAAACATACAATGACAAAAAAGAAAAATTAGAAAAGATGATAAGGCCCTAAATATAACAACTAAATGCAATGTCAGATCTTATAACAGAAAAAACAAATCACAAATAAATGATATAAATCTGATTGAAGTTTTCAGTTAGCTAATATTATACAAGTTCTTGGTTTTGACAACTGTCTTGGTTACTTTTCTTGCATTGCTAGGACAATCACCCATCACCTAAAATGAAGGAAAGGTTTATTTAGCTCACTGTTTGTGGAGGTTTCAGTCCATAATCAGTTGGCTCCAAGGCAGGGTAGCATGGCACAGGGCAACACTTCAAGGAAGCAGCCAGAACATAAAGGGGAGAACAAGCCTCTTTTTGTCCCTTATATTGTAGGCAAGCCAGGTTCCCACCCAGCCAACCCTCCCCCAATCCCTCCAGGGCAATGTACTACTTACAAAATCTCTGTGCCCTCCTCTTGCACAGGATGAGGGTATTTACAAAGTAAGGATCCTGGCTTCCTGCTGAGTCCCTCAGTTAAACTTCTAAACTTCTCAAGTTGACACCCTGTATCCACCATAATAACCTTAACTGTTCTATTTATTTAGTATAATCACCAATGATATACATTTATTAAATGTTCCTCTGTTCATAGACACAGAAAAATCAATGACTTAACCTTCCACCTCAAGTTAGATAAAAATAACTCGAATTCAGACAAAGATGAGCAGAAACCAATTACTATGAAAAAATAAAATGTACAATAAAATCAAAAGCTAGCTGTTATAGAAAACATCGTAAAACTGATTAGCCAAATTACGGGAAAAAGAGTTCAAACTTATCATACAAATGATGACGATTTAAAAAGTGAGGCTATCATGAAAACGGCACACCACATGTTAATTTAGACAAAAAGAAAATAACCTGAGAAACATTAATTCACCAAAACTGACAAATCATGAAAGATAAATCACAAATAGTCTTACTGAATGAAAGGGTTTTGGCCCAGATAGGACACTGTAGCCAGGAAAGCCACAATACGAAACAGGAAGCCCCATCTCCCCTGCCCCTAGGAAGTTACCTGTGACGCCATCTCCCCCCCCCCTGGAAATTTACATATGGCGCCAAACCTAGGACCAATGGGCTACCTGTGTATCCCTAATGCCCGCCTTAGGTTCCACCCCAAACCGAGGCTACTTACAGGCCCCCGCCTCCGGAGAGATCGCCGGAAGCCAGTGGTGGGGGTGCCGGTCATCTCTCTCCGTGTTCTCAGAATAAAGGCCGTTTTTTATTTTATATTTCTCATCTTTTGTTAATATTTTTCATCTTTTGGAAATAACCCTAGCACTGAATACTTATTAAAACTCTGTCCACAAGAAAAATTCCTTACCAAGTTCATTTCACAACACTGCTCTTCTACAAAAGAAAAAATAAGCTGGAAAAAACACAAAACAGAACAAAACAAAAAAACATATTGTAGCTTCTTCGATTATACCAAAATCTTTTGAGCACATTAAATTAAAAATGTAAGAAAAATTTTCTCATTAACATAAATGCAAAACTCTAAATAAAATAAGAGCAAATCAAACCCAGATAACACAAAAAAGCCTGAATGATTAATGTCAGAATCTATTAATGTAACTTACTCAGTAACATAAAAAGAGGGTAAAAAAAGGTCACTTTAATAGCTGCCTAAGAAACATTTGATGAAATTCAATATCCAGTCAAGATTAAAAACTCTTTACAGGGCTACGGATATAGCTCAGCAGCACTGCATCTGCTGGGCAAGCGTGACGTACTGAGTTCAACTGTCAGTACCAAATAAATAAAAAAATTAAAAATTAAAACTCTTTACAAACTGGAAATAAAACTTCCTTAGTATTAAAAAGAACACCTTAAAACAAGATGGAGTAAGACATCCTCCTTGTATCCCTGTGATTTAGCAACAAAGCAAGACTATAAGGTCTCAATAGTGTACTATATATTCAATAAAGCTTGAAGGCTTTTAAAAAATTTTAGCATAAAGAAACGTTTAATGAGATAGACATTTAATTTAAATATCATATACCATACAGATATATGAAAATATTGTCACCCAACTAATATGTATAATCTTTAAAACACACAGGAAGCATTATCTCTACTTCCCTTCAATATATACAGATCCTAGCTAGTCCTTTAGGCAAGAAAAAAGAAAAGCATAAGAATTGAAAAAGAAAATGGTCACCATCCAAAGATAATGAAATATATACAAACAGAAGGAAAAAATAGTTTATCAAGGTCAATATAAATATATATATAGTCATTATAAAAAACTTTATTTTAGCATACTTTAAAAATACAGTATAATTTTAAAATATACTGCTCAGGAATAAATCTAATGAATATTCACAATTTGGAGATTAAACTATAAAATGATATTGAGAGAACATAAGCAAAATTAATGGAGGAATACCCCAAGGTCATGAAGTAGAAAATTCAGTATTGTAAGACATCAATTCTCTCTACAGATTGACAAATTTAATACAATCACAAAATATTGATGTTTCTTTTATAGAAACTGAAACTGATTCTAAAATTTATAAATACAAAAGGTTAAGAATCTTAGCAATCTTGAAGAACAGTGAAATAGAAGGATTGAAAATAAAATATCAATTTAAATATAGCAAGTGAAACTAAGAATGATATTAGTCTAAAATATTTCTCTAAAACTGAGAAAGGAAGAAAACGTTCAACTGGGAAAGGAATGAGAGCAGGGAGAGGGAAACAAAAGAAGGGGAAAGTTAAAAAAAGTGAGAAAAGAAGGAAAAATAGAAACAAAGCTTTTGTAAATGGGGAAGAGAAAAGGGGAATAGGAAAAAACAATCAAATTACATCTTTATAGCTACAAATTCTGTATGATAAATATGATCATTATGTTTATCTAAAATGTAACAATAAAATCTAAAAGGAAAAAAGAATGACACTAGTCTAAAAATACAGATATTGACTTATGAGAAGAAAATAAGAATTTAGAAGTAGGCATACACACGAATCATCATGACTGCTTCTGATTTAACAAGTGGGACACTTTGAGCAATGGGTTGCTATGCAGTGCTGTCACTGTGTGACTATCAACTTGACTTAACAAACCTAGACAGTAGCTAGAAGGTATAGCCTAGTGCTCCTAGGCTACAAACCTGTATAGCATGTTACTAAACTTTAGTGTGGGAAACTCTAACACAATAGTATTTCTATATATAAGCATAGAAAAGATAAAACGTACAGTAAAATGATTTCTAAAAATGGCATATTTAGGACACCTACAATGAACAGAGCCTATAGCATCAGACGTTGCTCTGG